GGTAATAGGTGTGGCGCTGCAAGTTACTCTTTTGATGGAGTTAAAGAGTGATTTGTGATCGCGGGCCATTGAGGCAGACTCCATCTCCTCAGCAACCCGCGATCACCACCCATCCTTGCAGCGCCTCACGGCTCTCCGAACCTCCGAGCAAAGGCTGGGGTAAGCCTCCTCCTTCTCTGACATGGGACGCTGTAGACGACGAGAGTGGGCCTGTCGCTTTTTCTCAGCCAGCCTGAACACCTCCTCTGTCAGCCAGGGTCTCTGGGGAGGTCTGGACCGTGTACCCAAAGCAACCACTGCAGCTGCATGAGCCACAGTCCTAAACCTCGCCCATTTCCCCTAGACATCAGGAGGAGTGGGGGACGATGCCAATCCCAGCCGCAAGCGATGATGAAATTCTCGCTAGCAACTTTTGTCAGCTAGCTGAGACCATGCCACTATGGGTTTGAATGGGGTCCTGTGTGTACACGCACCACCGGAGTGGAAGAATGTCAGGCGCATCTACAGATGACAAGTCGATGGTTAGTGACCAGATCAGCTCCACGGTAAATCCTGGTATCAAGGACATGGGCCCGCATCCGCTGTTCCGTCACTATGTAGTCCAACAGATGTTCTTGCTTGTAACCGGCATGCATTCATGATGTTGTGTGGATGCGCCGATGCCGGAACAGCATGTTGATAATTACAAGCCCATGGACTGCACAAAAATCTAGCAGCCTCCTACCGTTGTTATTGAGCTGATCTGGCCCATGCCTTCCAATCACTCAAAACCAGGTGCCAGCATCATGACCAACTCGGGCATTGAAGTCACCCAACAAGATGACTCTATCCTGAGGGGCCACTTTAGCTCGCACCTGTGACAGGAGGACATAGAAGGCATCTGAATCATCGGCCTTGCCTGCATCCCTCCACGGATGGTCGTCTTTGGTGGGGGCATAAGTAACCACGACCACCACTCCTTGCCTCTGGTTGATGAGAAGGCGAGCCCAAAGTAGCCTGGGGCTAACAGCTTCCCACACCTCACCGCCATGCTCCCACGCCCCCTTCATTATTTTGTTCAGAAGAAGAGCCTGTTGTTTGGCAGTCTCCTGCCCCGCGTAGATGACTGTCCACTCCTCATGGTGGCAGGAGCCAGAGCCGGTCTACTGGACCTCCTGAATACCACAGAGATCCAGGCGGTACCGGTCCAGCTCCCGACAGGGGAGTGGCAGCCTCTCCTCCGCAGTGAGCATTCGAACATTCCACATGGCCACCCGCAGTGTTTTTTTTGTTATTTTTGGAGGAGCCCTGAGGGTAAGGTTTCAGTCGACTGGCTCCGCCAAATGGGGTTTCGCCAGGAGACATTATAGACGCCTATCCCCCCGGGGCCTCCGGCACAAGCTTAATTAAAGTTTTAAATCGTGGTTTAGTGGTAAGTAATTGAAGGTGGAGGGGTTACCAGCCCTGCGCACCCATCCAGAGCCCCCATTTGGCCGCTGTGGTGGTTACAAACGCCATGAAGGGAATGGCCAATCTAAATTGGCCCTCCCCCCACAGCACTGCTCACCACAGCGTTGCCGTCCGGCACCAACGAGGAGGTAGGGGGTTGTTTTTGCCGGATCATACATACACACGTACATACACACATGCACGCACACTCTTGCATACACAAGCCCGCGTGTTCAAACATGCGCACACAACACGTGGGCTTATTTAGCTCGCCACGCATGCCAACCACGTAGGCCTTGCAGTCCACTGAGAGGGTAATACTGAAAAACAAAGAAAACCCCAACCCAGCACAAATGTGTTTTTTATGACATCCTTATTGTTGATGAACAGATGCATCCATTCAAAATAGCCCATTCATAACGGCGAAAACCTCCCACACAACAGTGTTTGGACGTGTTGCGCAGAACGAGGCGAGCTGGAGTAATGCCTCCGGCTGGTGGTAAACATGTCAGTTTGCTAAAGAAGCATGTCCGCTTCCCACTCCTTTGTGCAAATATAACCACGGTTCTAAAGCATTTATATTTTCAAACTCTGACTGTGAAAAGTAATTCTCGGGTGAAACAGTCTGTTACGGGTGGCAAAGATATTACGTTGTTTTTTTATGCACATTTTTTTGCCGAATTGGATTGTGCTGAAGGATCGTAAAATTGTACCCCCATTTTCTTTACAGTATCTTACTGTACTTGACAGAATTCAACATAAAGTAGTCAGATTAATGGATGATCCAGCATTCACCAAATTCACTCCAGTTGCTCGCTCACCAGCGGTCAGTCGCCTCCTCGTGGCTCTTTTATCACTACTACCATGGTCAGTGTTTGCCGTGAACTTCTCCCGTTGACTCTTCCACCCACGTCGAGAACTCGGTCTACCAGACTGACTCTGTCGTCTCACACACACTGTGTTCAACCACAACACTTAGAGGCCACAACAGCGCTCTTTCCCACGTCTTCCCTCACACTGCTATCACACCTAGTCGTCTCATTTCCCAAGCTCCTTATGACTTTGCTCAATTCAAGAAACGTAATCATGCTTGTTTGTCTATATCAGGGGTCGGGAACCTTTTTGACTGGGAAAGCCATAAAAGCCAAATATTTCTAAATATATTGCATTGAGAGCCATATAGTATTTTTAACGTATAATAAATTAAATACGTCTTACTTTTAATGCGACTTCTGGTGCCGCGTGGTTTTGCTGATGGCCTTGTAGTCTGGTTCATACGTGGTGAGGTTGAGCTTCATGCAAGCGTTGAGGCCCCGTGACCCGTGAAATTTATCTTCAAAACTAATTTCTGTTTACTTAAATATGACACAGTATTATTAAGCAATATCACAAGTATTTTAAAATCAGTTCCAAACTGATTTTTTATTTTATTTTTTTCAACTCAAAATTGTCTGGGAGCCATATGCCGTCACCGAAAGAGCCATATATGGCTCGCGAGCCATAGGTTCCCGACCGCTGGTCTATACCAACATTACTCATGATGTTTGTTACTGATCGCTTAACGCTTTGGGCCTTAAGGTCTGCCCTCAGTAACTGCCCCCCGTGGTGTAAATTCCACATTTCCATGATGGGTGTCTGTCTATCTGCAGAACAAAAGAACGCCTGGCTTTCCACAAAGCAGAATTCACAAGCTTCTGCGATTCTCGCGTTCAAACCACAGCATCACTCATCCAGATGCAGTATATATCCACACACACACACATTGTCCATAAGCTGGGCTTAATTTCAGCTGGAGCCGTCAGGGGCTGAGCCCAGGAAAATATTTATCTGCCCCTACCCCTGCTGTAGGGAAGGGGGTGAGATCTGGGGGATGAGGGATTTTGGGGGCTATGGAAAATATTCCGTGAGAAATTAATCGCTGTCCATAAGCTACGCATTTTGTCCATAAGCTACGCATTGTCTTGTGGCAGCCTGCCCAGTAAGATCCATTGGGCTCAGTACAGGGATGTTTTACATCAGCCTGTATTATTTATTACAGACACAGAATTTGAGAATGTACGTGCCGTATATAAGTGAAAGAAAGCATGTGGGAAACAATGCAACTGTTGTCAGCACACTGTACAGACATTTTTGGCAACCTGAGTTTGTTTTTTGCCCAAGCACAATACCAATGGTAAACTGACATCTGAACCGAGCCAGGGCTATTGCTGTTGTTTCATCGAAAAGTGACCACCTGGTGCAGCTGTAACAACAACAGCATTGCGGAGACAAAAATGGTTGGGAATTCATGGTAATGACCGCACAACACCCACGTGTACCTTTGTCGGCCTTAATAGGCGCTCACGAACAGCACTTGACCTAAAAGTCTATAATGCTAAATGAGGTATATGTCTTCATGCACAGGGTGCAAGCACGAACATGGCATTACAAATTTGTAATCGATAGGAAATGATTTATACAAATTATTTTTCATTAATGGTCAGCACCATTACACGATGATCAACTCTTCACTAAAGCATATCGATAAACACCAAAGCATAGACGAAAACAAAGACAGCAATTAACCACATTTGCAATTAATAAACACTCGCTCACAAATGAAAACATACATAATCTGTTGTAGCCGACCTTCAAAGTAGTCCAGGTATTGTTAATAACAAAGACATTAAACTCTTTTCTACGTGTGCAATTTCATACCACCTGCACAGCCCTTGAAATCATGTTTGCAGTGCAGCACATCTAACAGCAAGACAGGCAGACCAGGAATTTGTATTAGCTTTCTTCTCATAGTACTTAAACATGACTGATGAGGTGGTAAAGCTGCATTAAGTGGGTAAAAGTGGGAAGAACTTGTGACTCCAGGCAGCCATATATTCTTTTCCCCCAACAGGGAGACACTAATGTGGCAGCTTGGTTCTACACACGCTGCATACAGTGTGTGTAGCGTTTGCTTGCGCGCGTGCGTGTTTCTTGAAGGCCACTTATTCGAAAGTGCGACAGAGAGAAAGGAGAAGAGCAAAAGGCAGGAAGCTCTGGGAAAGTGCCGTTGCAATTAACAGCCGTGTCTGTGACGGTGTTTTGATTTTGATCTTAATTAAGAGAGTTCAGTGAAACAGAGGTGGGCCTGGTGGCTTAGAGTTCAAAGTGCTGAGCTGACATGGCTGACATCCTGGATTCGGATCCAGGCAGTTGCTTGTGATTAAACGAGGTTCTCAAGTGTAGCAAGTTTATCTTATCAGCCCAGTCACCAATCCCATATCTAAGAATACATTTTTTTGCTTGACTGAACATTACTGTCATATTCAGAGTGGGTGGCAAATTGCAGCCCACTAATATGTGGGCCAGAGGTCACTTGAAGAAGGGATCTAAGAGGCTGCTCTGTGATATCCGCTTCTGCGGGGCCGTTCTCTCACACAAAGGGTAGCACTGCTCTGCAAGAGATCCGAATGGATGCTTTGCCTCGTGACATGATGCCAGTGTGGGTGTCACTGCATGAGTGGAGACTGAAGCCTGGCTGTCAAGGTGGCCGCGTGCGATGCACGAGGCACAGTGTGGCAACCGGCGTGCGTTACCGTGAACCGTTGATTCGGCTGCTCCAAGGGGGTCCTCCTCTGGCAGGCGTACGGAGCAATGGTTGATAGCTGCGCGCATTGCGGCAGAGTTGAAACGTCAGTGGGGCTCACCTGTGACAACAACAGAGAGGAAGACGTAATAATTTTAACGTCACAGTTGGCCAAAGCGGCTCTCTGGGCTATTGCCTGGGTCAGAGTGCTAAGTCGATACCACTCAGATCATGGATCCAGATCTAGGATTCAGCCACCTGTTTTAGCATTGCCTTTACTTCGACTGAAATGTCTAGTCGTGTGTGCAAGCAGTAATACAACAATAATACAACAGTAACGCACTCAGAGACGTACACTTTCACAACGTAACATTTAAAACTGTAATGAATTTAGTTTTCATATATTTACATTTTGTGATCCAAGAATGACAATATATTGTGTGATATTCCTCTCCGTTTGGTGGTCCTGAGCCTGTGGTGGAAATTCCTCTATCATATGATGGGGACCAGCCTCTCCATTGGATAAACAATGTTGATTTGACCACAGGGAAATTATAGAGTTGAGTCAACCTTCGGCCAGGATTTGAACTCGCATATTTAAAATGTGGTTTCTAACCCCGGCCTCTTGGCTAGATTCAATAAGATCATGAACTCCAAAATGTAGGACTTATGCTATAACAAAAACGTGATCTTAACAACAACCAGTACTTGGAAATTTGACACACTTTTAAAAATAGTTGATGCTATAAAAGGCAAATGTGGGGCTGCTCGAAGTACAAAACCTTTGACTTGGGAATGAATGTTCAATCTCCGAGACCTTCCTCGCATTTCCAGGATGTTACAGAATATAGGTTTCCACTGAAGGAAATTCACGAAAAGAAATCAATTACGAAAACAAGTACCACATGCTTCAAGGTGCATTGCAGTTCAGCACAACACGCTGAGCTTATAACGCAAAGAGAACATACGAGCATGGGTCAAACCCAGGTGAGCTGTATATAGTCACTAAAAGTGGTCTTTGCCCCACTCATCACAACCTTAAACCTATACACAGTGGTATTGCCATATCCGCAAAGGGCTTAAACAAAAATCACATGAATGGACTCGTCAACCCAGGGTACAGCATGCCACCCCTTATATCACCACATTCAATTATTGTCTTAAATTTGATCCCAACCATAGAACTATGGAATTTTCAACTTTGGCTAAAGGTTGCCAATGGAAATGAGCACCAACCCAGCAGCGAGACACTTTTGACATTATGTAGTTACTTAGCACAAAAGTGATGCAACAAATCTAAAACATCTGGCGAGGTGGTGCTGTGGTTAAAGTGCTCAGTTCGCAACTGTAAAGCAAGAGTTAAATTCCCAGTCGGGCATGAACGAGCACATGCTCGTTTTAGCAGGAAGACTCTCTGACTTGCCTTAAATCATGCAACTGATTACAGTGGACAATCACTGGTACTCTATTTATCCATGATGATTTTATTATATTAAATAAAAAGTCAAAATGTCTCTCCTGGTTAACATGGCTACGTACTTGATCGGTCAGAACACTGAGCCTGCACCCCTGACATCCTGGGATCTAAAATTCAGACAGCCACCCTTGTTAAAACTTGGTTCTCAAGCATAACTAGTTCAGTTTTCATGTATTAGGTATAGCCCTGCGAGCCATGCGGCTCTTGACTCGGGTGCAACCGCAACAAACAAAAACATGAACAAAGAACATCTTAAAGTGACTACGTGCAACAGAAAAATCCAAGAAAAAACAGCAAAGTCTTCCAGAAAAAAAACACCGCATATGAACGCTGTGTGCAAAAATCCCAGTGGGAGGCAAGTCAAACAATAACCATAAGACAATTTAGATTAAAGTTACCAGGCTAACTCTCTGTACTTCAACAAACAAACATGGCTGAACCATACATGCTCTCAGCCAAATCACTAATAGCTGCATAAAAGACCCACCAAATTAATGTCATTCAATTCCTGAGAAGAAAAAAAAAGTACGTGCGTTTAACTTGTTTCACACGGTACGTAGCCAAACGTGCTAACTGGAGGTACGGGACAATATCAGTTTAACAGGCAATATTAATACTTTGCATGGTATATAAAAGTTATGCCACTCTTCGAGTTTGATCCCTACTAAAGTGACTAGTTTGATGCCTACTAAAGTGACTAGCTTGATGCCTACTAAAGTGACTAGTTTGATGCCTACTAAAGTGACTTCAGAAGTGATTTCATCCTCCATGGTCATTCTAAATGGAAATGTATCCACCTCAGGATGATGCTGTGAACAAAACTGTAATATGTGCTAACAAAACAAATGCTTACCTAAAACCGGTGTTGGGGGTGGTGCTAATAACTTCAGGAATTATCTCTGATGGAAGGATTAAAGGCCAAACATGAATACCTGATTCAGACACATCAGCACCTAGGAGCCAAAATTAGTGGCTCAAGCACTCTTAAGCCAGCATAATCCAGCCAAGACAGATTATAACACTGCAATGAAAAGAATACGATTCACAACTTTGCACTTTGCAACTCTTTATTGCGGTCATTTCTTTTCGCTGGCAGCCACTCGCATTTACCTGTAATATGTGTGTTGGCTGCACTGAGACGGGATGGTTGGCTTCCATGCTGGCAGTAAGCCAAGTGCTGTGAAGCAACGTCGGCTTTGCAGAGGCGGCAGAGATATCAGCACCCCCGTTCTGCCCCAGCCATTTCAGCACCTCGTCTGCAGACAGGCCCTCAGACACCACGTGTGTGACCGCGCCGCTGAGAAACAGCAAGCATGGCCATTTTTATGGCGGGCACAGAGACAGTGGTTATTTGAAGGCTATGACGCAGTGGATTTACAGCCTCTAAGCTCGTGATCAACCGTTCAGCAAAAATACATTTCCCTAGGTAATAAAGCAATTTATTCAACTAGAAACGTCTTCATTTGAAGCAGTTCATGAAATAAAATGTCTGGCCAATTCCATAGTATAGATTGTCACTTCCCTATTTTGTCAATTCCTTATAAATAAAATAAAAAGCATAATCCCACTTACTTTATTTGCCATCTCCTGGCCATTTTGAAGCCCAGGGGATTTGAGTTTCCCCCAATCTTTGTCTTATAAAGTTCTGGGTTACAGGCGCGTGCCACCTGAACCGCATCTGCACAGATTATACGGTACTCCAAAACCTACGTTTGCCATTAATGTGAGTAGGCTAAGGACTAATCTTTGCAAATGTTTGATTGCTGTACCCTCATATGGGTTGCTACTCAGCATGAAGTCCAGTTTTCTCCCATACAGAGACTGGCCAAACCTCCCAAGAAAAACTCGACTGGAAAACACGTGGGACTTATTCAGGCTTTTCTGGAAGAGATAAACGACTGTTATTATAGTATTACTGTGCGATACTTCATGACATTCTCTACCAACTGCTGGATTAACCCTCTCCACACGCCACCCAATATACACATTATCCTCGATTAAAAGTACCATACTAAATTCCACACTTGCATCTCCGCATCAACTTTGGTGGTCCAAAAATATTTATAATCAGCATTATTATCTTACTCCTACGATCCAGTCTTTTGTATTTAACAAAGCATCAATCCTCCCCTTTCTTTGAATGGCCTCGGTGCCGACTTAAGCCTGTGGCATTAGTGGGGGATAACATCAGGTTTGATGGTGGTGGTGGTGGCGACTCCAATCTCATGCTTTGCTAAATGAAGTTACAATCTGACACAAATTGCTGGCATTGGCTGGTCATATTCTCAGCAGCTATACACGTATATTCGCATCGTGTGGATGTTTCTCCTGGTCTTTCGTGTTTTCCCCTCCACATTTAGATACGACATGCGTTTAGAATATGTCAGCTCATATACATGTCCACATGAGAAGCCACTTCATTGAGCTATCGTTTGTGGCCAGGTCTCTTCTGAAAAATAGCTATATAGCTCGTGTGGGCCTTACCTGATAAAATGCACGTATATATATATAGTTTGATACATCAGAGCATCATGGCGTGTGCTAACAACCCTATTCAGGAGTAGAGCCCGTGCATTGCCATGGATTCTGGGTTAAAGGATCAGTTTCACCCGCAGAGTTCAACATCGCAGCCATGGATAAACCAGCAGGGGCAGCACACACGACGACACGGATTACACTGTCAGAAAAAAAAATATTTTTTGTTCCTGGGTAGTAAGTGTTATTTCCTAATTGGTTATGCCTCAAAAGTACAGCAAATTTATATTAATCACCACAAACTTTGCTTTTGTGACCAGGACATTGATATTTTGAAAGTTACCAATGTTCAATGAGAAAACGTGGTGTGCATTTGTGTCATTCCTTCACGTAAAGTCCTGGTCACAAAAGCAAAGTTTGTGGGGAATGATAGCCATTTTCTCTACATTTTAGGCATGATCAATTAAAACGTATCACTTACTACCCAGGAACAAAAATTGTGTTACAAAGTGTGAAAATTCCGTGTCTCCGGGGACCTCGGTTCGACTCCTGCTACTCAACACCATTCACGCTCGCAGAGCAGCAGCAGCAGCAACATTTGCAACCGTGGAGACGAGACGTTCGTCAATGTGAATGCATTTTTTTGTTAAGGGGCCGTCCATAAATGACGTCACGCGATTTTGGACGATTTTTGACCCCCCCCCCCTTCGTCAAACGGCGTCACAAAAAGTCAGGACCCCCCCTCAAATATGACGTCACAAAGCTCTGCCCCCCCCCCCCAAATAAAACATGCTTCAAATCGCTTTGAACTACTGTCATTGTAGTGCGTATTTAATGTGGCGCTGCACTCTGATGTTGTAGGAGAAAACATTTACTAAAAAGTCTATTTAATTAAGTAGAACGTATTGTCTATATTTATTTAAAGTTGCGCATTTTGATGTGACGTCACATTTCTAACCCCCCCCCCCCCTCGTCACACATCGTCACAAACGTCTGACCCCCCCCACCACCCATAGTAGCGTGACGTCATTTATGGACGGTCCATAACGTGAATGACATTTTTTTGTCAAATAAACCTTTCGTTGACATCGCTGCACGTAAAAACAATACAAATGCGGAAGTACCTAAAGCGGTTATCCACGCGGAAGCCTTTGCTCCTGGCCAGAGCCGAGAGAAACTGGCGTCTGCTGGCACCCAACCTCCTCTCCACCAAATACACGACCACCTCGTCGAACTTGACGTGCGAGGACACCTCGCTCGCGTCGTCCCGTTCCTTCCGTCGTTTCTTCCTCGGGTTGAGCCCGGCCATGGTGGGGAGACGATCGGACGGACGATAAAATGGGCACGCGCGGTGTTTCGTCGCGGCAGGGCGTTCGACGCTGCACGTGGCCTCGACGCGCACGTGGCCTGGCACGAGCGTCGTAGTGAACGTCACCGACACTTAGTGGCTGAATGGCGGTGGTTGTTGTTGTTTTGTCCAGTCGTCGGTTAATGTTCAACAACGGTGGTGCCGCGTCTCTCTCGTCATCTTCTCCGCCTTGCAGCCTCCGCCGTGTCGCGACTGCCACCCTGTGGCAAGGCCAGTGGGCGCTGGCGGCTTTTATACTGGTGAAGTACCGTTGATGACGCTTGGACGCCGTTGTTGGGCACACGTATTTATTCGTACAAGTAGTCACACTGCGGACATACAATACTAGAGGGGTGTATCGGCCCCCTCACCCGGATAGCTGGGAATACTCTACTAGCTACCCCTGACCTACCTCCTAGTCCTCCACTAACGGGCTAGGGGAGGCTATCTGGCCCGACACTGGTCAGTCGGGCTACGGTACCCGGAGTCCCAGAGTACTAACTCTGGTTCACTGGACCACGCCACTGGCTCGGTCCTGCACGGCCCTGACAAGGGCGGCGTCCCAGGGGAGTCCAGGGCTCTAGCTAGTCGATCTTCTGTCTTCCCTCCTTTTACTCTAAACTGAACCCCGAGCTCTCCGGCTCATCCCCATTTATACCCCCCGGAGGATCACAACCCCCCGGGCAGCCCCCCAGGCCGCCCGGTGCGGACGTCGTTGCGGGCACCTCCCCGTGTACTCACGGAGCCCCGCCCACTGTGTTTGTTTCCCGTGTGATCCTATGCATACAGCCCTACACATACAGCCCCTCTGTAACAGCCCTACACTGGTAGGAACCACCTGGTTCCACCAGCCCACAAGGGATTATTGTGTCCGTCCGTGCGTCGTACATCCAAAAATGGGAGGGGAGGGTGGGGCTGGGTGGGGAGGGGCTGGTCACCCCGTGGTGCCCTTGTAAAACTCAACGTTTAACCTACTCACGCCGGCTTGTGCCGGTCCTCACAGTCGGGCATATTTGCGGAATACACCACGCCGCCATTGACCCTGGCCATTGACCGAGTAACCCAACGTTCCGATCAGCTCCCTCCGCAGGAATGTGTTTTAACTCTGTCCGTCTGTTGTCGTTGTTGTATCCTCAAATCGTGTAACTCAATTTTAACCCACTTCCCAATGTGGTATCGACTGCAAACTTGGTATACTTATGTCATACTGATGACAATACTGTATTGTTATAACAAAAAAAATTACATTCGTTTAATATATAAGATGTTTCTTTAGGTCTAATTGTCCACGGTCAACTGACGCAGGCTGTATTTGGCCACGGTCTCTTACGTTATAAACTTCGGGGCCACCTCCTAGAGTCGTGGAGTTCTGCCATTACTAGGACATTTCTTAAAAGCGTGTTTAATTTTTTTTATATTACTTTGAACAACGGATATATGACGTGTCTCATGTCCAACATATTCCCCTCCTCACGGACATACATCGCAACATCACGACGATCTGGACGGAATCAAGCAGGGACTGTATCAGACTCATCAGAGCAGGTGCGGTGGGGGGGGGGATTTTGTTTGGGGAAGGGGGAGGTTGGCCAGGGCATTGCCGTTCTGGGCTTAGGCATTCATAGCTGTCAACCCCTTATCAGTTGCCTTTCTTGTTACAGACCAATTCAGACCTTATTGGTCACCCCGTGCCCCTTGTTGTTGTTGTTTGACTTGCATCCCACTGGGATTTTTGCACACAGCGTTGGTGTACGGTTTTTTCTGCAATATTTTGCTGTCTTTTCTTGGATTTTCTGTTTGCACTTAGTCACATATTCACTTTAAGATGTTTTTTGTTCATGTTTTTGTTTGTTGCGGTTGCACCCGATTCAAGAGCCGAATGGCTCACAGGGCTATACCTAATAAATGAACTTGAATAAATCTCAACGTGCATCCTACAGAGTCCCATCACAAGGGAGAAACACGAATTGAAACGGCTGTACGCCGTGGGGACCTGAACACTCAATTTCCCTGTACAAGAATACGAGGTAAACCGAAAAGGTTGACAGGTATGGTGGGTATTTAAGACTGGTGTCAGGTTTGGGAATGGCCCCATGTCCGTGTTGTGTTTCTCTTCCTTGGCTCTGAGCTGATCGCTCAGGTGCTCCAGTGCTGAGATTGGGCCTCATGAATTCAGACATTGAGGGAGGGTTGTGGCATTTTGTTTTCACACACAAACAATTGAGGGTAATCGCAATTAAGCGGTGGGAATTTGCTATAATTGACTTTGCCTTTAAGGTCAGAATAAGAATATGTATTTTTACTTGAGGAATCCGATGAGCTATAAAGCTAGATTTGAAGTTTTCGTGACTGTAAGGATCCATACTCTTTGGTTTTTTCGGTAAAGTCACGTAGGTGAAAACTAAATAAAATAAATAAAAATAATATATAAAAATAAATTAATTTAGTTGTTTTATTTTATTTAGTCTTCACCTACGTGACTTTACCGAAAAAACCAAAGAGTATAGCTAACACATTCCTGCGGAGGGAGCTGGTAGGAACGTTGGGTTGCTCGGTCAATGGCCAGGGTCAACGGCGGCGTGGTGTATTCCGCAAATATGCCCGACTGTGAGGGCGGGCACAAGCCGGCGTGAGTAGGTTAAACGTAGAAGTTTTATAAGAGCACCACGGGGTGACCAGCCCCTCCCCACCCAGCCCCACCCCTCCCACCCCCCACCCCACCCTCCCCACCCAGCCCCTCCCCCCTCCGATTTTTGGATGCACGACGGACGGACGGACGGACACAATAATCCCCTGTGGGCTGGTGGAACCAGGTGGTTCCTATCAGTATAAAGCTCTTTATTCACAGGTGTCCTGTAAGGGGCTGGTCAGAACGTTACCTAAACAACAATATAAAAAACACAATAGGAGTGCAAGATCTAGGAAAGGTAAACAACTCACGTAATAAAACATACAAATAAAACTAAACCACAAATGATACTTCAACGAAGTTGCTTATCATGTTAAAATGTAGAGCAGCAAAATAATCAACTCTAAACGCGTGTTTATTTGACAATACAACAAGCTCATTGGGACAGTATATTATCAATGATACTCGAATGCATGTTGTATTTACATAGCGCCTTTTGCAAACCTGGCGTTATGTTTAATGTATAAAGAGAAATAAATAAACAGACAAGACGCCTCCTCCGTGTATGTCCCTCCACAAACTAAATTTATTTTTTAAAGGTAAATGTAGCCACACAGATGGCCAATCATCAACGACACGTGCATTTGTTTACACATGCTGTTTTCGTATAATTGGGCACCGTACAATTGAGCCTTTGCATTACACCAGTTTGTTCCAAATGTAGCAATGTGAGCTCATGCATCCTGCAATTTGTTACCATTACCGAGTAATCACATCGAAAATAAGAAAATTACATTTCCATATTATTTGGAATATGTAAGATCTGACTGGGTGATACTCAACTCGCAATGGGAAGGCTGTGAATTCAAATTCCGTTTGGGGAGCAACTGATGCCTCTGTGTTAATTAAAGTTATACCACTTTGTTGGAAGCCAACAGTGATCATCATCCTTGCCATGAACGTATTAAATTACGTGCCACCAATGGTTCAGGACCACTCAGATAGACACTGATCTATTGTTGAATTCGGGATATAGATACATTTTGTTCTGCCTGGACCTCTATCTCACATTGATTTGTCACACCATTTCTACAGTTTATTGTGAATTTATATTGTAAATTATCAACGACTCAGCTTGTTGATCTCAATGTTTCCATTGCATCGGCATTTTCTTCTTTACTCTTTGGTTCTTTCGGTAAAGTAACGTAGGTATAAAATAAAATAAATCATGTTTCGATCGCAACACAAGCGACCGTCATCAGGTGGAACAGATACAGCAGGAGTACTGCAGAACCAAAGAGTATGGATTCCTGCAGTCACGAAAGCTTTAAATCATTTTCTTCTTTCCTTATTCATAACGTTGGCTTGACATTGATATATTTTGTTCAATTGTGAGGCACAGTAATTTTGAAAGAGGGCACTCGCCTGCCCTTTTTTCTCACTTGTGGCAACTTGTCAGTTAAGTGCAAGAACACAGCAAAAGTAATAGATCTTAATGCTGATCATTTATTCAAGTTTTTGGATAACATACAATTTGAGAAGCTATTGGGAAAAAGGGAGAAGCTATTGGGAAAAAGGGAGAAACATGCCACTTTTTCAAGTTTTAAGAGGAGTAACAAAGAGCACAATAAAAGTAATGAGTTTAAGTGTATTCCTTCTCCCTGATAAATACACATCAGGTAAACTTGACACATTACATAGATTTGGACAATTACTTCTGGACCCATACATATCACATTAAGTATTGATACTTTACCATAGACAACCAGTGCGAGATGTATATTTAACTGTCTGCATGTTTGTTACTGTGTACTCACTTTGGTATACATGGTACGTGGGAATACATTGGGAAGGATGACTAAAGAACAACACTCTTGAGCGAGCACATTTCACCAGTAATTGCCAACAAATGCATCCCTATTTTATGGAAATTGCATGGCACACAGGTGTGGATATTACATATTCTTTGGGTCTTTGGGTAAAGTCACGTAGATAGGTTCAAAGAAAATAACCTATCTACGTGACTTTACCGAAAGACCCAAAGAATATGAATTCCAGCGGTCACGAAACCTTTAAGTCTCGATATTACATGCTTTACATGACCATTTGATACACCACTTACACATCATATATGAGTATTAGTAAAAGAAATGACAACAAAGTAAAATATATATTTTTTAAACACATTGTTGCCTAATGGGTTATTAGGAACTTCACCCGGCAGGATAGGATATGGAGATGTTTGCCCACTTTCAGTAATTCTAATTTGAATTCACAACCAAGTTCTAGAAAAAAAAATACAAGGTCTCAGTAAAGGCACCAACTGAATGAGCTCCACATTGCCACTTTGAAGAAGCCATCGACATTTGTTTAACATTTTTATCGTATACGTTTAAAATAAGCCAACAAGACTTCATCCACATATTCACAATTCCACTATTGTAAGTCTTTTGCTAAATTCCTCATAGGTGGTGGGTGCTTTAATAAAAAATGGGTAATTTAGATACACAGGCTGTGGTTGGCACACTTATGAGAATGCTGCTCCATATTCTGTGTGTAGAGGTGATACGCGCTGGGATTAG